TTTTAGTTGTATCACTCATGATAAAGTAAGGGATCGATATTATTGTTATAATGTATAATGTATATAAAGAAATCACATGTGATGTATTATATATTGCACATCGTAAAACAATTATAATGCAAATAAGTAAAAATTAATTATGTAATGTATCAGTCGCTTTATCTTCTTTTTTTTTTCGTTTTTATATCTGTCTTTGTCTCTTGTAAAATAAAACCGGAAAATTGCAGCTCTTGAGGTCTCTGGAGATTGTTTGATCGTATCGTCGCACTGTACTGCCGATATTCAACAGAAAACATTTGTATTGTTTTGTTTCTGGGAAAACATACGTACCGTGAACTTTATGTACTCAACTCGCGCTTCCTAATGGAAATCTGTTACGATTTACGAGGAATTAGCGATATTAACTTGCTATATCCTCCGTAAATCTACCACAGATCCCACGAGATTGACCAAGACCAACATGCGAATTGGTCATGGTTATATACATGTACAAACGAATGTATACAAACGTCAAGCAGCAGATATAACTCCATGTTAATGATGCTAATTAGACGTAAAACAGAGAGAAGCAACCGCGCAAACAGATTATTATTGCTAAGTAATAAATACATTATACTCGTATACTCTTTTGTTGCTTTAACATCGCTGTGCTACTTTCTTCAAAATATTAAATTGTTAATATCATAGTTTCGAAAATCGTTTAGATAATGAGTTTTGATGATGTATAATGCGTTCAAACATTATAATATTTTTTCCCGGTTCTCTCATCGTAATAAGTCTTGAATATCACGGTGACGTCACTGACGTGAGCGTTTCGTTGAGTATCAAGCTGTTCCAATGGTAATCTCCGGCTTTTTTTCAAAAATGCTTTCCGGGGATTTAAGAATGGTGAAGAGATTCCTTGAACAATAATACAGTCCTTTGAAAATTATGGCTAAAATGATCCAGAGAAATTCGTTCGAAAAATATGACTCGAGTGTAAAAAATATGTTTTTTCCGTAAATCATATACACACATTCCAAAACGTCTATTCTATGATATGTTTTATTTTTCGTGTCTATAATTTTTATATATTTCTATCGGTACATTTATTATATTTGATGAGTAAACTGTTTTATTTTTAAAAATATAGACTTAATTAATGTAAATCGTTATTTTATTGTTAATAATTTTTTATGCATTCGTAATTGAATATCTTTTACAAATAATATTTGATAACTGAAATAATTGAATTATCTGTTTGTACTACTTATGTAAAAATTACTCTCTTTGTAACTTAACTGAAACAAGCGAACGTGTTGGACTAAAAAAACAATAGTAAACATACCTAGGGATTTTAGGGATTACCTATTCCTTATTTAAACACAGCTAATGGTTGAGCGCAGCCCGTAGTCGATGAGATAAGAAAATACCGAAAGAAATCGTTGAGCATTTCTGGGAGGATCAGAGTACTTAACGTGTTACGGTGAAAACGGAGAAACGGAAAAAGAATAGCAGAGAGCTACAGTGGCGAATAACACTGTGGGATGAGAGATGGAAGACGGCTAATGCGCATCCACTCTGTTACAGATAAATGGATTAGTTAGTTACGATGCGAAACGAAAAGTAAAAGAGCGCGTCGGACTGAGAGAATACTATCAGGAAGGGTTAAGATCTGATGGAAAACGGAGAACAAGGAGGACCGATGATTTGGCGGGACGTAAATATTAAGAGAACTCATTACCGCTTACGATGTATCCATTCATCTTGTTGCTCAATTGAACACTATCTTCCTTTATTTTTGAATAAAATGGTTAATTTTAACATTTTTCTACATCTAATTTAATGAAAAAAAAAAATGTATATTTGGGATTGAATGAAATGTAATATTTTTATGATGGATCACATGATAAATGGCTAGTTGAAGCAATTAGTATAATTAATATATGTATCTAATTCAGTTTTTAATTAAACGAATCATGCATATATCTACATAAGTGGCTCCTTATAATAAATCTTGAATCTTATTTTCATTTTGATTATAATAATACTGCTATAATATTTATTAAATTACTATAATATATTTGATATGTTTAGATATTAATTAATATTTACATTAATTATATTGTATACGGTTATTATTATGTTGTACAACATACTATTATATTAATTTATTATATTACAATTATTAATTGTGTTACAACATATTCAATTGTAAGTACGGAATAAACAATGCAAACGATATTGTTACATATTAGAATAGTTATAACTTTTCATTTCTTACACTTCAATCTGATATACACTCTCAGTGTCATACACTGAACCAAAACTGTACATAAATATAATAAAATACGTATTGAATTATGAAAAAATAATGAAAATTGGTCCAATGAATTCTCATAATGTTATAAGTTATAAAACTTTTACTAGAATTTATTGTAAGAATGAATATATAGTTATTTAAATGAATCCAGTTATTATATCAATGAATTAACTACATTAAATCGGACATTGATTAACGATCATTCATTGGACCAAAAATAATCAAAATTTTTTTCAGTGTACATAACATGTGACTGTAGAAGGCATACGCTATTTAAAATAAATATTATTATATTAATTTATGATATTTTTGATGTTAAGGAGTGAGAGAGAGAGAGAGAGAGAGACAGAGAGAGACAGAGACAGAATGTAACTGTGAATATTTAGGAAAAATTAAATAAAATTAACAACTATTTATCAATTATAGAAATCTTTATTCAAAAATTATTTAGTTTTAAACTACAATAATTAACATTCATGTATTATCAATATAAATTATAATTTTAAACAAAATCCGTTTAGCATTGCTGTTTCATGCGACAAATTTTGTCGAAACGGCAAGGGTCTTTTTTATTTAAAATTATACTTAATATTGATAATACATGAATATTAATTATTTTGAAGCCAAATAACTACCGCATCTTTTAGCAAAGACTTATAATTAATAAAAAAATCGACTTTATTAAACTTTTTCTTTAAATGTTTGCAGTTTTACTTTTCTATTATATTAAATATAATATATGAGAATTATTGATAGTTAGTCTTATATTACCTCATTATGAGTCAAAGTATTATCTAACTATATTAAATATTGTACACAGGCGCGAACAGACAGTACGATGGTAGTCAGTCTGCGATGTCGACTTTTGGACTTTCGTCAGAAACGACTATTCGTCAAGTCAAATGTTAATTAGCAATGTTAGTCATCGCTTTTAATGTCGCTTGCCATCGTTCAACCATAAAATCGCTCTAGGTCGGGAATGTGTCCTGCCGTTTTTTTATCGCGCCAAAGGACGCTCGTTAATTTTCGTAAACGACCCGAGGCACTTTGCGATGAGAGTCTGAATACCGAAAGGGAGAAGATTAATCCTCTTCAATGTTCAACATCCTTAAGTATTCTTTTCTCTCAAAGAACGAGCTAGTTGTCAATGACGAGGATGATATGTGTCCAGACTTACTCTCTACGATTGTTCGATGGATTGGAAGTATATTCGTGAGACTTTCAGAAACGTGACACTTTTGAAAAATTCTTCAGAAAGATGACCTCTGACACACTATTGATAACCTGGCGGTTATGTAATCGGTGTCAGTCCGATGAATAGATGTTATTAGAATTTCCCATTCAAGAGTACGTTGCTGTGCGTATCGTAGAAGATAATGATTCTTAATGTAGGCAAATTTTTTTAATCGCAACACCTCATTTTGTTTTTGCATTCAATGTCAGATCGATGATTAACGATTAACTTTGCTCGTTTGTTTGTAATGTGCTGTAAATTCAATATTTTGCTTTAGTATTTTGTCAAATTTTTATACATTTTTAACAACAAAATTTGACATTAGACCGATATATGAATTCACTAAGTAAGAAAAATGTCTTCGGTTTGATCTTAGTGCTTAATAATATTTTGGTGTTTTTTTTTTTCTTTATTATATTCAATTTTGTAAACTGCGCGTCGAAATCATTTTCTTTCATATCGTTTTGAAAGGCAATCTTAAATTGGATAGTAATATTATGAATCAAATTGCACCAAGTACAATTTAATAATATTTTTACTAATAAACGCCATAAAATATAAATAATTTATTACACAGAATATCACAATAAATGTTAATATATGTATATGTAAATACATATCATACATGCTAATAGATAATATATTAATATATTTTATTATATATTTTTGTACGTTGTTGTTATATTAATAAAGATATATGTACTTTGTCTCAACAAATATTAATTCCATCAGAATCATAATTATATCATTGATATTTGGACACAATGTATACATGCATGCAATGTATGTTACATTATCTAACGAATAGAGATACACAGCATGTTATGTACATATTATACGCGTATATGTGTATGATATGCTTGACGTAGGCATTATTCCACGAACCATTTGATCCTATAATTAATCAACGGTTAGTTGATTATATGTTGAACTTAGCGAATCAGATCAAATTCTTTTATAAGAATTAACAATATGTGATTGTAAGGTAGAATTATAAAATAAGAAAGTATTTAATTAACAATATTTCTAACAACAAATTTTTGTTTTTCATTAATTACAATTGTTACAAGTAATTGATTACAATTGTTTACAAGATATTGAATTATCTTTGTTATACTTTTAGTTAACATTGAATAAATTTAACGTTTTTATTGAATTTGAGAAACTAGATATTATCTTAGATTTTGTCAAGGCCGACTGACACAATTTGTTTTTCACATTAATATATGTACAATGATATAGATGGCATTATAGAAATTATTCAATATGCAAACCTCGAATAACCGCACTTATAGTATTAAAACTGTGCATAATCTCTGTTATATGAGATTCAGTCCCGCTCGAAGCTTACAGTTTATTAGCATAGATGGACGAACTTTGATTGTTTGAGAGTATTATCACTATGGAACGGAATGATGTTCCACTTTAAGGATTAAAGCGATCACAGTCCTGCTTACTTTCCAGGTGCTATATTCACTCATGACCAAAAGGATAGCAGCACGGAGCTGGCCTTCAAGTATGCCGTTTACAAGATCAACAAGGACAAAATTATATTGCCGAAGACCACATTGGAGTACGATATTCAATACGTGCCAAAAGATGATTCCTTCCACGCATCGAAAAAGGGTAAGTATTATAATTGCGTATTTTGCATGCTTAATAAATATCGTATTTTCTATATACGTTTTATTTTTACTAAACCATGTAATGCCATATTATTTTATTTGCATCTCCGTAATCTACGTCAGCGCAAGAAATAGCAATTTGAACTAAAACTTACGGCGCAGAAAATTCTCCGGTTTAATGAAACGACGCTGCATTACTACGTGCGTCTCCGTAAGAAATTTCACTGAAGTTAAAAAACATCTCACGCTCGTTAATCTCACGGTTTCCTACATGTCAAAAATGATTTATTCCTAAAAGCTTGCTCAGTTTTCACACAGTTCCACGCAAACTGTAAAATGTTTAAACGGTACATGACTCGTTTCTCAGACATAGATTTAAAATATTAATTAATTTTAATTTTGAGAATACTGCAATTGTAGTGTGCTTTTACTAAAGCTTTTTTTTTCGCGTAATATTAATACTTACATCAAAGTATGATTGTTTCCAAAGTGACAAGTATGATTAATTAATTATATACAGTAAAGAACATTTTGTATTTGTGTTAAAATCGGTTTACTGAAGCCTTTGTTAAAACTTTATGTTGAATTTTTAACATATTCGCATGTCCAGAGTATTAATTTGACATAATGTGACTATATTATTTGAATATTTTGTGTTGAATTGATATTCAACATTTTTTAGTATCAAAATAACAAAATTTATAAATAAGTCAACAAATAACATAAAAATAATGTATTTCATTTCAAATTTTTTAAAACATAAATTTTAAGATAAAATAAATAATAAAAACGTTAATTGGACATAAATATTAATTTTACAGAAAAAGTGTGTTTTTATAGTTTGCTTATAAATTGTATCAGTTAGATTTTTTGTGTTAATTTTTTAATATAATATTTATTTTTTAACATATTTATCTTGTATTGAATTAACATAAAAAACTATTTGATGTAAAGTATGTTTTTAATACAAATTTTTAACTGATGTGTATCTTTCACATAAATACCTAAACAAAAACGTTTGTAAGGAATATAGCGCTATCTACGTTAAATTAAGGCAAAGAGCTTGGTTTATCGAGCAAAATCATGGTACTTAGATAGAGAACACTCTGAGGTATCCTGAATGTTCTGAGAGTCCTTTTAGTCGACACTATACGCGATGTAAGGCGTTACCGTAAGCAAAATTTATCGTGTTGACGGCATGTATAAACCAGCCAAGAATAACTGGCTTGCTTGCCTCTCGTCGTTATTAAAGCAGCATACACATTATTATCCGTCTCGTGTCTGTTGCTATCGGATACTCAACATAAAGATCATTGTCTCGCTTCGTGATACCCTTAAAAACGTACTTGTCTCTTGTCTCTGATGTACCGGAAAGATTTAAGAGACAAGATCAATTTTTTTATCCGTTAGGTACGTTTCGTGAGAATTTCTCGATATGATTCCGACAACCGATTACTTTTCTATATAGAAATTTTCAAGTCTTTATTTTTTGCTATTTTAAAAAGAGAAATCAAATCTATAAAGAAAAACAGCGTTTTCTTTATAGATTTGAGAAATATTTTTATAATATTTATAAATATTTAATGCTTATACTCATTTTTTACGTAGTTACATTAATATTACAAAATAAAACTTCTGTTTATTTTTTATAAAAATATTCGAAAATAGTTTGATTTTGAAATTTACGACGAAATTTAATGTAGCTTTAAGTGATTCATTAAAATTAGGTTATTTTTACGAATTCTTAGAATTTTGAAATCAATTGAGTAAATTTGCCAATTCATTCTATTTGACAAACATTCTGTCGTATTTTTCTAATTTTCTGCAATAATATAATAGATTGTTTTATTTTTTATATGATATTACATAAAACATTAATCGAGCGACTTTTATTTGTCCAAGCAGCGACACATATTATGTGCGTTGTACAAACATTATAACAATTAAGTAAATTAGGCAAGTGTGATTATAGCATTCTAAACTTTTGTCATTGGTGCAAGAAAATAGCTAACAAATTGCCCTCATTATTTTCATTCTCCGTATCGTAAATTGCAAAGACACTATGAAGCAGTGAACGCTTTATAACACGTGAAATTATGACTGCACGATCGATAGAAAGGACTTGCCTCTAATATCTTACTGCAAAATATACATATATATTTTTATATAATATATGTTCTTTATTCCTCTATTTAATTTTCTCTTTAAATATTGGAAGTCACAATATAAATAAACAATATAAGTATACAATGTTACAATTATAATACATAATTTATTTTAATTATAATACGTAGAGAAGACTTCTTTAAAGTTTTGGCTACAATGTTTGAAAATATTTATCAATACCTTCTCGCACATATAATTTACACAGCGTACAAACATTTATCTAGATAGAAATCAAGTTTTTATTTTTATATATATATATATAGATGGCAGCAAATTAAATGATACAACTCTGGATAATATTGTAATATACACTTATACTTTTAACTTTTTAATTCGATAAATTTTTGTCGATAGCATCGGCTAATCCGTGCCTTGAAATTACCATATGGATCGAACATATGCATTGTAGTATTGTCTACTAAGACAGGAAACCTCTTCGAGACTAGTCCGTGTTATAGCTCGCTACTATGCTAGTATACTACAGTACATGCTTGTTGAGGGTCCTTTCCAGTGACTTTTCATTTGTTCGTGCACAATACAAAATTGTAATTTAGTTAAATTTTCTGTTCTGAGTTACACGTCCTGATTGCTCAACTTTCTGTTACGCACATGACGTTAAAATTGTTATAGAAACAAGATAAAATTTTATCTGAATGAAAATTTTGTTTTATTCAATCTTATTATTCAGGTTTACAAAAAATATAAGGGCAGTATAATAACAGAGGAAAGTCGCTGATACTGACATAGGAAAGAAATATTCTTTTATTTTTCTCAAACTAAACATTGTACTCTATAAAATCATGATCTGTTTAGATGATCAAAAAAGGAAAAACCCATAATTCATATATTTGAGGCTTGTTTCTATGTAAAATCAGATAAAAACGAATTTTATAAATTCGAAAATAAAATTCTTACGATTTTTTTTTGCTAATTGCGTAATTAAAATAATAGTGGATATATTATTGATAATATTAGATCATTTTACGTGGTTGTAGTTTTCTACAATTATTTTATATTTTCTTTCTCTTATTTTTCTCATAGTACGGTTTTAAACATAAAATTGAAGTGCAGAGTAAACCAACACACTTGTGTGTAAGACAGACCATAAGCTAACTTAATCTTTATATATTGTCGCGTTATTGTGTCAAATAGCCCTGTTGAGGATGAAGGCATTCCTATACTTACGGAAAACCTCTAAGAAAAATTGTTATGTTACGTGTTTATGTCTTGCGAAATAGTCTAAAGTATGCAACAAAAAACGTTTTACATAGAAATAAAAAGGTTTTAGAAATTTTCATATACATTAACTTGTAGATATTTTGTATAGATAATTCCTGTGAAAGAAAAGAATAGAAATATGTGTAGAATAGAAACATTATCACGTCAGTCTTAGAATCCATTTTATCAGATGCATACATTTTTGCTTGTCTTACGAAAACATTAATTATTGCAACATTCCAAACAATATTATAAAAAAATGACAGAAAACATTTTTATATATATTTTTTTCCAAAGTTTTATTTTTAGCTTTTATTAAAGAATTATGGTCAAAATACAAAGAGGTATAACGATATTGGCGACCTTTCTCTATTGAATTAAAATACTTGTCCTGTTTATTAAATATTTTCGATACTCAATATTCAATATTCAATATTTTTTGAATTAACAAGAAATGCATTTTTTGATAATTGGGAACATTAATACATTGCTCAATTCTGTGAAATCCCCAGTGTTATCATATAAGATGCGCTGCACAGGAAATTTGATCATCGATTTTCTAACGCACATACGTATAACCGTAAAATTCTAGAATTATATTCCTCGGCAAATACATACTTAACGCGAATAACGTATTTTGCGACCGTGTTCTGCTTCGATCTCGTTCGTTGCATCTCTAGCTCGTCTTTACATTGCTCGTTTACATGGACACATGCTTCAGCTCTATACGTATACTTATGCAAATAATACCGTGTCTTATGCAAATAAGAACTAAGTAATAAGTTAAGTATCTGCCGATGGGCTTGTTTCTCGTTTGAGCTCTTTACGTGTGTAAATGTATATCATGTACATACGAACTCTCTTTCATCTCTGGTAATGTGTGATCTTGTATTTTAAGTAGTTTTGCCAGAGATTATGCCGACCGTGTATTGATTACATCATAAATGCGACATAATTTAAATATAGAACCGAAATGCCTGAACGAAATTGAAACGTTCGTGAAGTAATTAATTACTGAAAGCTTCTCATTCGTCATCAACTTCTACTCACAATTAGCATAATTTGTTTAATGAATCCGATTTTCGATTTAAAATTATATATGTTCAAGAAAAAAGTTTTATCACCGATTTATATAAGAGATTTGATTTGCTCTTTTTAATTAACAAAATCAAGGTGATGGTTCCAATTATAGATCATTAAGCTATTCTGTTTTTAAATTATTCTACGTTTAGTAAACAGATTTTGAATGTTGGAAAAATATTAAAAAATGTTTATGTATAAAGTCGCAATTATAGATCGGCAGGTTATTTCGTATAAAATTTCTTTAATGTAAAATTATTTATATAATATTAATAAAATATTCAAATTTACATTGTTTTATTTTATATGACGTAACAGTATACTAAATATAATCTATAACTATAAGAGTATTATAATTTAAAAAATTATTAAAAAAGGTAATGTTCTGTTTTTCTTTCTTAAATATCAGCAATGACTGAAAAAGTGCTCTCCTATCATAATTTAAAAAAAATTAAAGAATGCAAAACTTTTTCGTAATTTTATTATATATAAATGTATACCTGTAAAATATTTTATTTAATTTTGCAAGTTTGATCC